GAGAGTGTGATGTATGTGTTTCATACAGAGTGTGACATGTGTGAATGTGGTTTAGCCTATGCTGATCTCTCTATAAGGAGCTCTGGTGGCATAGTGATTAACGAATTCAGCTGCTGAGCAAAAAGTCAGCAGTTTAAACCTACCAGCCACTCTGTAGGAGAAAGATGAGGCAGTCTGCTTCCATAAAGATTTACAAACTTGGAAACTCTATGCGTTGTTATAAGTCAGAATCGACTCAATGGCAGTGGGTTTGATTTGTTTGGGGTTTTGGGCTCTCCACTGATGAGGACATTATCAATGCAAGACAGCCAAGTATCACTTCAACACCACAAAAATTCATGGGTAGGGAATTCTTCTAGATTGTTGCTGTCCAAAACATAGCCATGGACCACATGAACCTATTTAAATTAAATAAAATTAAAACATCAGTTATCCAATTGCACTTGCCACATTTCTACTACTGCAGAAAATTCTACTTGGACAGTGCTATTCGAGAAGTCTTTACAGGCCACAGAACAATGGATAGAGGTACCTCCAACCTTTTCTTGCCACACACACACATCTTATTACAATCCCATTGCAGTCTATTGGAGAAAGCCAGAGGCCTGCAGAGGTCAAGCTAATAAGAAGAGGGAATGCTCCCACAGCTAAGTTACACCATGCCAGTGGACCAAGAGAAGAGCCATCATGAAGTGTGTGGGACCAGACAAAGGCTCAAGTACTGAGGCTCTAGGTCTTCACATCAAGCAGTTGATTTCTGAATCTTTCTCCTCCACCTGACTCTTGAGGACAAGGAATGTCTCATTTATATCTATACTCTCATTACCTACCAGTAATATTACAGTAATCCATTAAGTATTTACATAGGTGAATAATTCTTCCTACTTTGTACTTTCTTCTTTTACTCAAATTCTACAATGCTATAAAATTATCTTTATAGTGCATACATGTAATCCTGTTATTCCCTTCTTTAAAAATGGTATTAATGGCCCAAAATTATTTAAATGTATTATCATGACATGATATACTCTATGTAACTGGCTTCTAGAATATGTCAACAAACACATTTCCAGTCTGCCTTCCAAGACCAGCCCCTGTACTAACTGAGGTTTTTGGTAAATTATCCATATCTGTCTTCTGCTGCCTCCATATCACTGTGAAATTCTGAACTGGCCCCCAGCAGGCCTACTAATTTCACACTGCTTCATATTCTCCAAAGGATACATGGCATATAATGAGAGATATTACTGATAGATTAGCCTGTGTGAGGGGCGTGTGTGTGTGTGTGTATGTGTTTCAACATACAGTCAAAAGGCTGGAAAAAACTTGCTTTTCATCACATTAAACTATTTGCTGTTCCTGGATTGATTGCATCTTTCATCTTCAGGCCCTCATGTCTTTGCTCTATATTATTTCCTCTACTTCCAAAACAGTCCATCCTTCCAAACTTAGATCAAATTTCTTATCATCTCTGTAGTTTCCTTTGATCTACCCATCTTTCACATAAGGGAAAAACTGGTAATAGATGAGAAAGCAATCAATTTTTGTCCCTTCATGCATACTCCTCATATCTTTTTAGTTATACTGCTTTGAAAGTTTTGTTTATTTCTATAATATTATCTGTAAAAGAATGTGTTGAATTTTCTAAAGTCTACTAAATTGTTGAGTGCTATTAAGAGAACCAAACTTACTGCCATCGAGTCGATTCTAACTCATAGCGACCCCCTTTAGATTTCAGAGGTAGTAAATCTTAATGGAGTAGATTGTCCAATCTTTCTTCCAAGGAGTGGCTGGTGCGTTTGAACTGCCAGCCTTCTGGTTAGCAGCCAAATCCCTTAGGCACTACACCACCAGAGATCCTTACTTACTATTATTTAATCATATTTGGTGAATCCACTCACAACAATTATTATATGTGTGTATGTGTGTTACGTAAATATAAAACGCTACCTACGTAAACAACATACATTTCAAAACCAAATAATCAAATGCTGAGTTACATTATTTAGGCCACTGCTTTATCTCATAACATGGTAGTGGAAAGGTTACTCTAGCCAAGTAATAATTGTTTTACTCTTCTTAGTTCATTTCTTTGCTATTCATAAGGTGGGTTTAAAATCAAGAAAGGAGTGCGTCAGGGTTGTATTCTGTCTCCACACTTATTCAATCTATATGCTGAGCAAATAATCCGAGAAGCTGGACTATATGAAGAAAAACGTGGTATCAGGATTGGAGGAAGAATCACTAACAACCTGAGATATGCAGATGATACAACTTTGCTTGCTGAAAGTGAGGATGACTTAAGGCACCTACTGATGAAGGTTGAAGAATACAGTCTGCAGTATGGATTACATCTCAACATAAAGAAAACAAAAATCCTCACAACTGGACCAATGAGCAGCATCACAATCAATGGAGAGAAGATTGAGGTTGTCAAAGAATTCACGTTGCTTGGTTCTACAATCGATGCCAACGGAAGCAGTAGTCAGGACATTAGACAACGTGTAGCATTGGGAAAGTCAACTGCGAAGGTACTGTTTCAAGTGCTGAGGAGCAAGGATATCTCATTGAGGACTAAAATGCGCCTGACACAAGCCATGATATTTCCAATCGCCTGGTATGCATGTGAGAGCTGGACAATGAATAAGGAAGACCGAAGAAGAGTTGATGCTTTTGAGTTGTGGTGCTGGCGAAGAATGCTGAAAGTACCATGGACTGCTAAAAGAACTAACAGATCTGTCCTGGAGAAAGTGCAACCAGAAATGCTTCTTGGAAGCAAGAATGGCCAGACTTCATCTCACCTATTTTGGTCATGTTGTCAGAAGGGACCATTCCCTGGAGAAGGATGTCATGCTTGGTAGGGTGGAGGGTCGACGAAAGAGGGGGAGGCCTTCAAGGAGATGGATTGACACGGTGGCTGACATGATGGGCTCAAGTATAGCAGGGATTGTGGGGCTGGCGCAGGATCGGGCAGTGTTTCGTTCTGCTGTGCATGGGGTCGCTATGAGTCGGAAACGACTCGATGGCACTTAACGACAACAACAACAGTTCATTTCTACTGTTTTAAAAGTACGACATCCGAATATGTTCTAATATGGTAAGTATTACAAAATTTGGCTGAATTTAATAATGTCTTCATACATAATTCTCCCATAATTAAATTTGGTTTTTTGATATCAAATTTCCCATTCTGATTACATGTTCTTTTTCTTATTCATTATATTTCCCTCACTAACATTCATCTTCATTCACATTGCCTCTTTACAATTATTTCTATGGTTTTTGGCCTTCAGTTCTTTTATTCAAAGCTCAAGAGTAGCATTCTCTTTGTCTTCCTGTGTATCTGTATGTTTACTTCAAAATGAATAGATATAAAACTACTGAGAATAACTATAGCTTATTAAATAAATATTGGTATGCAATTTTAACATATTCAAAATTATTATAATCAGCATATATCCAAAAAACAAGTATTCAATTTGTAACCATGGTGTTTTTAGATAGAGAATAAAGACTAGACTGACAAACAAGAATTCATTAAAAATTTCTGCACTGGCCTTTTTCCACAATACATTTTACACTTTATTTTTAATTTACTACTATTTCTAATAGCTTCAACTTTCTGAGAATGTCTGATTACCTTTTATATAGATACAAATTCTCCATAGTGTACTCAGTTTTATTTTGTCCCTCTTTTTTATTAGTAAACACATTAACAATAAAATAGGCTCACTTGCTCCAGCTGGTAATTCCTCAGTATTAGTAATATATTATTCCCCTTTTTGTGACATCATAATCATCTATACAGAAGTACCATGTATCTTTGTGTAGAAGCTACTGTTTCTATTAAATTTAATTACCTCCCCCTGTGGTTTTAAATAGAAGTGGCTTCAAAATGAGGGCAGCTTCTATTAAATTTAATTACATTCCCCTGCTGCTTGCATGGTAAAAGGGAGGTTACTAAATGAGAGCAGCTTCTAAACTAAGGTATATGGTAACTGTGTGCTAGTAACAACAAAATTATGTCTAAACTACGCATTTGGAAGCACCTTTGGTTTATATTTTCTTTTATTTTTTTCAGCCTTGATTTAATATCCTAAAAAAATGGGCATTAAAATGGAAGAAAATGTATTTTAAAAATCAATTCTAGTTAAAAGACTAAATAAAGGTAAATGTACTATTTCTTTAAAAGAAATATGAAATAGTCCCAAAGAAACTGAAAATTATCAAGGTCAGAACTTTTATGATAAACATCATTTGGTGGTGTTTCCTACCTCTAACAATGCTAAGTTTTATTCCTGATGTATTTTGAATGTATATTAAAAAGTTGTCTTTGATTCTGGTCAAACCATTTTAAAGATTGCTTCACTAAATGTTATTCAAAAGGCATTAAGTGAGGGGAGATTTCAAAGAAACACTCAGAAATAGTAATGTTTGAAAAAGTGAAAAAAAAGTATCAGGTTCATTAAAAACCACTGTATTTAAAAACAGTTCATTTACATCAACATGCTTTATAATAGTCTAAAAATGTAAGTCACATTTAAAATACAATGATATAAAATATAATAGAAGATGAAATTTTAAGTACCTCTTTTTTAATTAAATATTAATTAGGAGGAAAAATACCACTCAGTTAAACCACCATAGTACAATGTAATACACACACACACACACACACACATATATATGTATGTATGCAGAATTTAGAGGAACAATATTTTCATTCAATCACACAGTTTAGTATAAATATAAAACAAGACACCCCTTAAGCATTTTAAGTAACAAATTAAACATTTACATTTTTTACTGTGCACTGAGGCTTAACATTTATGCAGCTTCAAAACCAAAGTACAGCCTCAAGGGAAGTCTCTCCACTGACAAATTAATACCTTAGAGAACAGAGCTGAATGGTGGCAATGAACTCATTTGTTCCCCCAATAATGAAGAATGACTTTTTCTTTACCACATCTGTGACTGTTGCTATGGTGACCCAGACTTACCTCACTGCTTCTCGGAGAGCTCCTCGCTCACCAAGAGTCGTGTGCTTGATGTCATCAAAATTATTCTCCAGCTTCTCACAATTCTGCAATATATTAAAAAAAAAAAAAAAAAAAACTACATTACTCCTCTAACATCCTGTGATAAAATTCTATCTATATGGTTCTGTAAAAATATAATTGATTATATTGATTATGGACTCATGAAAAATATGCACAGCCCTTTAATTGGGTAGGATTCATTAAAATTGACAGTGTGAACTCAGCAGTAACAAAATAAAAATGTCTTACGATACAGCTGTCATGAAAGTCTTTTTCTTCAGTTTTTCAAAAGGGGAAAAATAGAAGCAATAAACAGTATCTAAAAGTTGTACAACTTCTAGAGTTCTATGGACTAAAATTAGTATTCTAAAATAACCTCACATGTATAAAACCAATTTAAATCCAAATGAAAAAGTTAATAAAGTAACCTTTAAACCATCCTTTTATGACAAATATCTAGTTCTAAATAAATTAGCATTTACTAAGAACAAAAGATAAAGTCAAGGTGTAATTATAATGGAAGTGGGAAAATCACAAAATCACAATTTTATAATCAGATCTTTAAATGACTACAATTGTATTCATGTTGTTTCCAATTGCACATATAGGTATTTGAAAATAAATCCAATTCTTACAATTAAATGACCTTATATTATCATCTTAAAAAATATTAAGATTGAGGAAATATGTCATAAACAATTTAAGCACCATAAATACTTTCATTTCCTGATATATTTAATAGCATTACTATATTGGATTTTCTAAGACTGTTTAATTTTACTACAATTTTAAATATAAGTCTTTATTTAAAACACACTTAATTTTACATGGCTTAAATAAGTTTTAGGAACATAATATATAGAATTTAAACTAAAAAAAAAGTATCCATATGAATCTTTAGGCACATTAGATTTTATGCAGAATGTAGTGATATTTAGGTAATAAAATAATTAGATTTAGAGTTTTGATTAATTGAACAAGTAAAATCTAAATATATTTTAAGTATTAAGGTATTCATTAATATGTTCAAATTGTGAATAAGTATTTGGATTTTATAAAATTAGAATTCAGATTAATAATTTATAGATATGTAAAAATTACTTGATTACTTCTACAAAGACAACCTTGGAAACCCTATGCATCTGGACAGTCCTACTCTGTCCTACACAATAGCTATGTGTCAGAATCAACCCTTCAGCAACGGATTGAAGAACTAATTGATTCCAAAATACATTGATATACAAACTATTTTCACTTTGGTCTGTTTTCAAGTTTGGCTGAATTAATATAATGACCCTATTAACACAGATATATTTATATAATAAAAAACTTTATTACTAAAATGAATTTTTTTAAAAAAATGGTTTCCAAATGGAACTCCTCTGTTGCATGTATCCATTGCAAATATTTTCTCATGCTCTGAGCTGTATTATTTCTTCACTTTCTTAGTAGTGTTTTTTATAAAGAGAAATTTTTTAATTTTAATTAAAAATTAAAGGCCAAATTTATCAGTTATTTTTTTTTATTAATAACTAGAACTTTCCATCTTCTATTTAAGAAATCTTTATCTCCCTCAGGAGTATTAAATATAAGTTTAAGTTTTCTTCAGAAAGTGTTATTACTTTACATTTCATATTTAGATCTGAGAACATCAGGAATAGATATTTGTGTATGGTGTAAGGTTAGTGATCACATAATATAGTTAATCAATCAATTAAATTTGTGTGGTTTATTGAGTATATCATCATTTCCCCAGTGCAACAGAGAATAATATTTTTCATAAATCAAGTTACAGTAGGTCTAGGGGTCTGTTTCTTCAGTCCATTTTGTTCCACTAGTTTGTTATACCTGAGAGAGTGTCACACTAAATTATTTACATGCGTAATAAATAAAGGAGTCATGCAAGTTAATATGAAGACAGAAAAGCCAATAGAAAACAGGCAAAAGATTCTTTATGTAACACTATATGAAAGAGAATATCCACATAGCCAATAAAAAAATTCTAAACTTCATAAGTCATCAGGAAAATGCAAATAAAAACCAGAATGAAGTATGACTACACATCCAAAAGTGCCAAAAAATGGAAACAATGATAAAAATTTTTTTTTTAGCATATCAGGCAATTGGAATTCTCAAATACTGCTGGTAGAAGTATAAATTGGTACGACGACTTTGGAAAGCTGCTTGGCAGTATATAAATATGTTGAACATTTGTGTGTACCTATGACCTTGTAGTTCCTAGCAATGTACCCAAACACATCCAAAAGAACACAATTTGGAATACAACCAAACTTAATGCATATTGCGGTTTTCTTTTTTCCTTTTAAAAAAGGTTATGTTCAAGAATGTTCATCTCAACACTACTCAAGTAAGTCCTAAAGTGAAACAAGCCAAAAACAAATCAAAATGATATATATAAATAAATTGTGATAAATTGATACCATGGAAAATTACATGGAAATGAAAAGTAGCAAACTATAGCAACATGCAACAAAAAGGATATATTTCCCAGACATAATGCTAAACAAAACTTACACACACAAAAAGCAAACAGTCAAAATCATTCCATTTATATGAAGTTAAGAAATTGGCAAAACTACAGTGAACAAAAGGAAAATTTTATAAAATTGTATTCACAAAAAGTATCTAAAAAAATTAAAATACTTAGGAATAAATCTAACAAATATATTTGTTAAATGGACTAATATCATGTTTTGTGCTCTGGTTCTACCTCCTAGTATTTTGCATAGTGTCTGGGGTCTTAAAAAGCCGGCAAAGTGCCATCCAAGGTGCAACAATTGGTCTTATTCATCTGAGAAACCGAGAAGAAGGAACACCAAGAACAGGAGGAGGAATAGAATGTGAGGCTAACTTCCTTCATGAACAACTGCCCCCTTTGCCATGAGACCAGAAGAACTGGATGGTGCCCAGCTACCATTACTGAGAATTTGCATGAAAGATCCTATAGAAGAATCCTGACCCAAAAGGAGAAAATACAAAATAGAATTTCAAATTCTCATGGAATTTAGATGTACTGGAGTCATGGGATCTGCATAAAGCCCTGAAACTATTGTTCTGAGATAATCTTTGTATCTTCAACCAAAAATATCCCCTGAAGTTTTTGCAAAATCAAATAATAGTTTAGCTTAACAGGTAAAGAAGGTCTGCCTTGAGAATTATATATACAGTATATAAAAATTAATTCCAAATGGATCAAACCTAAGGGAAGAGAGAAAACTATACAACTCTTAGAAAATAATGAGGTAAATTTTAATGCCCTTAGATCTGGCAATGGTTTCTTAATGTGATACCAAAACTGTAAGCAACAAAAGGAAAAAAAAAAAAAAAAAGATAAATTGGACTTCATCAAAATCTACATTTTTTGCTTAAAATGTCACCAACAAGAAAAAGAAAAAGCAACCTACAGAATAGTAGAAACCATTACACTGATAAAAGAATGGTTCTCAAATATATAAAGAATACTTGCATCTCAAAATCCAATTTAAAAATGAGTAAAGTATATTAATAAACAATTCTCCAAACAGGATATCAAATAACCAGTAATGACATTAAAAATATTCAACATTGTTAGTTAGAATAATGCAAATCAAATAATGCAATAATAATAACAATGCAAATCATCATTAGAATAATGCAAATCAAAACCAAAATCAAATACCACGTCACGTCTATTAAGATGGCTATGATCAAAAGACGGAAAATAAAGGTCATCAAGTATGTAGAGAACTTGGAACCCTCATACATTGCTGGTGGGAATATAAAATGATGCAGCTGCTTTAGAAAACAGTTGGTCAGTTCTTTATATTGTTAACATGGAGTTATAATTACAAAAAGAAAACAAACAAACAAAAAAACCCACTGCCATCGAGTCCGTTCCAACACATAGTGACCTTGTAGGACAAAGTAAAGTAACAATGCCCCAGAAGGTTTCCAAGGCTGAAACCTTTCTAGAATTTGAATTCTGGTTAAGAAATTATAATGCAATTGCACATCACTAAAGTTAAAATTACAGAACAAATATAAAAGACATTAAAGTGTCTGATACAAAATACTAAATGTTAGCTAAAAGCTGCTGTTTTATTATTACTTATTAGACTTTTGTTATACAGATCTAATTTCTGGAACTGATTCAACTTATCCTGATAAGCTTTTGACACTTCATTAATTAAATTATGAACTTTTCCTTTCTACAGTGAATAGTTTTAAAGGATGACATTTTTACAATTATAATTGCAAAAGATGAGCAACTATAATATTTGGGTTTGGTGGGTCTTTGAAGAACACTTTTTCAATACTGCTGGAATAAAAATTAATTAAGTTCACTTAGAGTATGGAACTATAAATAAACAGCAGAGTTGTCCTTTCCTGTTTTGTCTTAATAGTGGAAGTCAGACAGAAAGAAATATAAATTTTACATTTTAGATGTATAAAACAATTTATAGATTATAGTGTTCTTTTAAATTTTTTATGGATTTTTTAAAAGAAATTTATGCTTAAAGATATTCATTGTAGGAATGGAAAAGAAATACTAACTATTCAATAGGGGAATGGTTAAATAGAGTACTTTCAAAATAAAAGATGGTATGTGTTCATTGGGAGCTCTGGTAGTGTAGTGCCTAAGGCACTTGACTGCTAACCAGAAGGCTGGTGGTTCAAACCCACTGGCCACTCCTCAGAAGGAAGATGGGGTAATCTACTTCTGTAGTGATACTGCCTTGGAAACCCAAGAAGGGGTCGCTATGAGTCGGGTCCGACTCAACAGCACATAACAAGAACAAATGTGTTCATTACAAATGCTGTTTAAGCAGATTTTTAATAAGCCAATGTGTGCGTGACAGTATGTAATTTTTTAAAGAGACAGTATAAATTGTCTATGTTGTATGATATGATTAAAATAATGGAAAACAAACAAGCAAAACCAACAATAACTAGAAATAAAATACTCATTCAAATTTTCTCAGAATATTGAAAAAACAAGAATTTCTTTTAGATTTTGGCATTTTCCAAATTTAAATATTGAGTT